AGAATAGGTGACTTTGTCAATATTAAAAATGTTTCCCAACGTTCTTTTGTTTTTTAGGAATTCTAGCACTTCCATGGTTTGGAGCAGAAATTTGACATTTGGCAAGGTGGGGGCAAGGGTCACTTTGGAATTAGAAAGCATCTTTTGCTAACCCCATAAAAATCCATCCAAATTTGGCTAAAAGTTGCCATTTGCAAATATTGATAGCTTTTCAGAAGCTTGCTGCTAAAATCTCTGAAGATTCCATCCTCACTTAACATGCTTCCTGGCCCCACAGAACTTGAGCTCCAGGAAGAGAAAAGCATCAGAAGCTACCACTTTGGTGTATGGAGAGAAGTGCTGAGCTGGGAGGCAGGAAGAGACTACAAGTTCTAGACTCAGGTCTTAAATACTTACGTGCACTTCACTATCCTTCTTAATGATCAAGGCTTCAACTCAGAGGCCTGGCAAGTATAATCCCCCATTTTACTGATTGGGTAGGTGAGAGGCTGCACAAATTCACTTTGGGCAGAGCTGGGAGAATACAAACGTTTCTCCATTGTGGTCGAGCCACATCTCCTCCATAGCCAAATTGCCTGTTAGAATGAATGTGCCAGATCTGTGTGTGTGACTGTATTGTTTCTAACCACAAGACCCATTCCCAGCCAGGAATCCTTACTCCCAACATTTCATTGCTGTCAAGTGTATCATGTCCTGCTCTAGTGGCTGGTCCATACAAAAAATAACAGACTGTTACTGCTCTTGGTTACTCCTTTAACTCAAGTAGTAGCAATCTGTGCTATGGATCTGAAGGACCTACCTTCAAACTGCTGATGACCACATGATGGAATTTATATTTTCTAGTTTTCTTTTTTTAAACCTAGAAAATTTAAAAAAACTGCATTTAAGGAAACAACGAGGAGTCCGGTGGCACCTTAAAGACTAATAGATTTATTTGAGCATAAGCTTTCATGGGTAAAAAAACCCACTGCTTTTTCCCAAATAAATCTTCTAGTTTTTAAGGTGCCACCAGACTCCACATTGTTTTTGTGGATACAAACTAACACGGCTACCCCTCTGATACATTTAAGGAACACTCCCATGCAAAGTCCAGCACTCAGAAGTTAGGAAATGACAGAATTAAGGTTCCCCCTTAATTTTTCCTTGATAACTGTGGTATCTGTGTTGTTAGTTGCTTGATATGTTTTTGGTGACTGGCATATTTGTGATTAGCACTTGTCTATTAATACTTTGGGTTTTGTCTGCTTGCTTGACTGTTTGATGGATTAATTGTGTGGCTGCTCTCCCCTGGGAACCACATGAAAATGAGATGTTGCAGCAAGAAAAATTGTAAATAAATATATGGATGTTCATCAAAACAAACTGATGAACCTTTATTCGGTTTAGGCTGTTTTTTTCCTTGTAATTAAAACAGAGGCATTAATAACCATGGAGAAACCATCTACCTACTTACAAAGGAGTGTGATTATTGAAAGACTTAATTCACATGGGAAATACCTCTGGTATTTTAGAGTGGGTCTAAGCAACACTTGAGTTTGAAATGCAAACTTATGCAGAGTTCGAGAGATTTGGGGCCTGGTGTTCTGGTTTGGAGCCATCTTAGAAGTAGACTTAGAAAACCTGTCTTATGAAAGGAGACTCAAAGAGCTTGGCTTGTTTAGCCTAACCAAAAGAAGGCTGAGAGGAGATATGATTGCTATCTATAAATATATCAGAGGGATAAATACCATGGAGGGAGAAGACTTATTTAAGCTCAGTACCAATGGGGACACAAGAACAAATGGATATAAACTGGCTATCAGGAAGTTTAGACTTGAAATTAGACAAAGGTTTCTAACCATCAGAGGAGTGAAGTTCTGGAACAGCCTTCCAAGGGAAGCAGTGGGGGCAAAAGACATCTGGCTTCAAGACTAAGCTTGATAAGTTTATGGAGGGGATGGTATGATGGGATAGCCTAATTTTGGCAATTAATTGATCTTTGACTATTAGCTGTAAGTATGCCCAATGGCCTATGATGATATGTTAGATGGGGTGGGATCTGAGTTACTACAGCAAATTCTTTCCTGGGTGTCTGGCTGGTGAGTCTTGCCCACATGCTCAGGGTTGAGCTGATCGCCATATTTGGGGTCGGGAAGGAATTTTCCTCCAGGGCAGATTAGCAGAGGCCCTGGGGGTTTTCCACCTTCCTCTGCAGCGTGGGGCATGGGTCACTTGCTGGAGGATTCTCTGCACCTTGAAATCTTTAAACCATGATTTGAGGACTTCAGTAACTCAGACATAGGTCAGGGGTTTGTTACAGGAGTGGGTGGGTGAGATTCTGTGGCCTGCGTTGTGCAGGAGGTCAGACTAGACGATCATAATGGTCTCTTCTGACCTTAAAGTCTATGATTCTATGACTTGAACTTCCCTAAAACTTGAGGATGTTTAATTGGGTCCTGTTTAGTCTATAAAGATACTCAGGTTTAAACTTGGTTCTGAATCTGATTCCCCTTCCCATGCTGTGAGGACACGAACACAGCTGCTCGTTCCATGTCCTCTCCATTGTTACAGCCCATGTGTTTGTACAGTACCTGGCACAGTGGGATACTGGTCCATGACTACAAGTCCTATGCACTATGGTAATACAAATAATAATAATGGGAATGAGACTCAGGCCCCATATTTTAACCCTAGTAGATTTAATTATGTAACCTAGTACATGGTTCTTTAATCAAGCTACAGAGATGTTCCCAAGTTTCAAAATTTGGTTTCAGATTTTTCTACCATTCAAGTGGTTTTGGTTTCTGATGTTTCAATTCATATCCATCGTATACAAACTTTAGAACTGCATCCGAACTTCCTCTCACTTGGAGGCAGTTCGGATCAATGTTCTGGTTCAAGCCCATATCTGGTTCTGATTCTGTTTGTTTAAACTGATGATTGTGAAAATGTTTTGAAGCCAGGACTGCACAAATAGAGAGAGAACAGTCCTCAGGGGACACAGAACGCATCGGCTGCTGAAGTAAAATGCAAAACGTGCTCCAGAATCACAGATCACTACCACTTGGACTAAAGGAGAAGTTCTATAGCAATACTAATATTTTTTCTTTTTAGGTGCTTTTTGGGGGGGAGTGGGAACCACAAGGGACAACAATTACCAACATCAGATCAGACACCACCAAGGAGAAGTACACGTACATGACCCTACATTACAGGCTGTGAATTTCAGGGGGAGATCTTTTAAGACATGTAGCTGTGTTTTGAAGAGAATTGCCTCTAAAATTGCAACACACAAAATGATGAACTGTTCTTCTCCAAAGTGAATTATTTTAAAAATATTTTCATGTAGAATCTATGTTCACGTAGGTGTGTGTTTGGGTAGGTGGTAACAGGTAGCTATGCCATAACTGTCCATGCTGTTGGCAGCAGAAAAGAGGAAAATTATTAAATGGAAAGTTGGAGGAAGAAGGAGGTGAATTTACTGCCACTTTGGGGTGGGTAATAGTTAAGGCTTTGTTTTAGTCACAGGTATTTTTAGTAAAAGTCATGGACAGGTCACGGGCAGTAAACAAAAGTTCACGGTCTGTGACCTGTCCATGACTTCTACTATACACCCCAGACCAAATCCTGGGAGGAAGCGTGGCCCAGGGGCACTGCAGGTGCTCAGGTGGGAACACTGCAGTTGCTGGGGGCGGGGGGGGTGGGTGGGAGAGCAGTGGCCTGGAGCGCGTGGGCCAGGACCCCTCCTACTGCTGGGAGGGTGGGGGGTGGGCAGCAGCGGGCAGCCCAGGACCCCCAGTGGCTCCGCACCTCCCCGGGAGTGGTGACATCCCCCTCGCTCAGCTCCTAGGCAGAGGCGTGGCTAGTGGCCCAAGACTGCCCCAGCAGCAGCTGGTGCGACTGGTGCAGGGGCTGCCTGATCTGCTCCCAGGCCAGGTGCACCGGCCACTGCAGAAGTGACTGAGGTCATGGAAAACCACAGAATCCGTGACTTCCATGACAAACTCGCAGCCTTAGTAATAGTCACTCTTTTTGTCCAATTTGAACAAAACATGAAATCAAATTCACTGTTTTTGAGAGATTTTTTTCTCAATGTAAAACCAAAACATGTTTTTGTTCATGTTGTTTCAGGAAGAATGATAGACATGTAGGGTTTGAAGGGACCTTTAAGAGGTCATCTAGTCCTGACCCCTGCACTGAAGCAGGATGAAGTAAACCTAGACCATCCATGACAGGTGTTTGTCTAACCTGTTCTTAAAAACCTCCAATGATGCTGATTCTGCAGCCTCCCTAGGTAACCCATTCCAGCGGCACAGAATTCTCCCAGGAGTATAACCTGAGAAGTAACCTACTACTACAATGAGTGCATGATAGTAAGTACAACACCAGAGATGAAATTCTAGCTCCATCGAAGTCAATGGACTTTTTTGCTATTGATTTCAATAGAGCCAGGATTTCAGCCCAGTGGTAAGTTGAGTGCAGGATCATACCAAGAATCATTAATCATAGAAATTAGAGAGAGATCATCAGGTTTTCCCTCTCCCCCACCACCCCATGTCACTATTTTAGAGTTGTTTCTGGGTAGCGGCCTGGGTGTATGCTTTGCATTGATTCTCGTTGCTTATTCAAGGACAACGGACCTCATAGGTTCTTAAAGATCAAATATAAATAACAGAGCTGGCTCTGTCTCAGTTTTCTCCTGCTTATTTCACATATGTAACAGCCCATAGTGAGCAAAGGATACAGCAGGTTTGGAAGTTTTAGTACTAATGACAATGACAGATGTTCATCAATCTGCTTGTGCTTTAATCCATTTTTGCTGCTTCTAGTCATAAATTTAGGATATTATTCAGGAGGCAGAATCGTTCCAGAGACCTGTAGTAGTAAAACTTGTTTCTTCATTAATTTTTTCAGTCCAAATCCTGCTTGCTCACATTGACAGTCTCTGTAGTTGCAGGCTGCTAGCCTGTCCCCCTTCTCTTCCTCACTCATTATTTCATTGAAACTATGTTCTTTTCCAGGTGCCAGGAGAGAATGAGAAGCACTGGAAGCCAGCACTGGTTGTACTGACGGAGAAGGACCTTTTAATATATGACAGCATGCCACGAATGAAAGAAGCTTGGTTCAGCCCTCTACATACTTACCCTCTGCTAGCCACCAGGTAGTTTTATATTTTATTGCAGGCACTTCAGTCGTTATTTGGAGTGGGTAAACCTGGTAAGAAAAGAGATACTCATGAAATCACACATAAAATGTCATGTTTTTAGAACCAAACTTTTTGTTAAGGTCTTGAAATACTCAGTTTATGTGTCCTTCTCTCCCCCACTTCCAAATTCTGTCCAAGACTGGAAATGCCAAAATATCACAAGAAAGATTATTTCTGCTATACTGTGAGCCAAGAATTGAAACAGAAATTCTGGAAATCTCATGGCAGAGCCTGTTTCCATGAGATTTCCAATCAAATTTGCAGACCCAAGGGCTTGAAATAAGCATCTGCGCTTCTGAATGCTTATCCATGCTAAACCTACCAGGAAGTCAATGTAGTACATTACTACTATCAGGGTTGGAACCATGACACCCAGTAGTGTTTCTACAGCTGAGCTTTTTGGAAGCTCACCTATCACCAGGAGTCATGCACATTTTTGGAATGTTTTACTTTCAGCATTGTTAGCGTTTCTGTTCTAAGTGGCTTATTTACAGCTTTTCCTAATTCAGTGAACTCTTTGTTCTCATAATCTAATCTATCTATCTTTCTATCTAAGGTATGTCTAGGGTTCCCATCACCATAGTATTTCAACACCAGATACCATACCTGCCCATCTCTAGTAATACCCAAGCTCTGTCCAAAAGAGATGGGTAGGTACTGAAATGCTTTAACTGGTGGAGTGTGTTGGAGTGCCAGAATGCTCCCCATAACTAATCAAGTCAAACAAATGAATAACACTGGTTGGACTCCATGCTTAAATATTGATTTAACAAAATGCTTTTATGTGGCCATTATTGAGATAGACAAACTGGGCAAGACTTTTCAATAGTGACTAGTGATTTTGGGTGCCCAATGTGATGCAATTTAACAGGACCTGATTTTCTGAAACTGCTGAGCATCTGCCCTCTGAAAATCAGGCCCATTTGATATGTGTCAAGTTGGATCCCCAATTACTGAGTCACCCAAAATCACAAATTTTTTGTCCCAGGAGTATGTACATCAAGATAATCCATTGGAAGGTATTGAAATGTTCCCAGACTCACCTGTGTGAGTGAAAATGCTTTGAAAATAATGCTGTAGTACCATTTTCCATTCTTTTTAATAATGAATCAAATAACCCACCTGACAGATCCAAAATAATGTGAGTAGGTCTGTTTTGCCTGGAGAAACTGACGCTTAGACCTGGAGAGGCGTGTGGTCTCCTTACCATCCTCTGTGTGTCTGTGTCCATAACGTGGAGAAAGAAACGCAACAGAAAAGCAAAGACTACAGCATATTTCTTAAACAAACTAGTGTCCTTGTAATGATCTACAGTATATTTACTTTAGACAAAAACTAAAGTGCAGTACCGCCCCAAAAATATTTTCACTCATAGGCATCATATGCGAAATCATTGCCAAGCAAACATGTAGAGCACAGGAAGTGCACGCATCATACCCTCATGTTTTTCCTACAGAGTCCAGTTAAAGTATTTTCCAACTGTGTTATGGACTTCCTGCTTCTCTCATGGATCTGACTCCCAGTAGACCCCAGAGAGAAATACTGGCTTGGGTCAGTATAGTGCAATTAAATCCTGAGTTGACACCGTCAGACATACAGCTGTCAGACACACTGACTTCATTTTTATTTACGAGCATGTGTGCGGGATCCTGCGCTATGGAAAGATCTGCCCACATTTGTTCCTTACACTGAGAGTCATCTATGGCTTTTGATGCTAATTCTAATCGTATTTGTCTGCTAGAACAGTCTCAGGGCTTGAGAAGGAGTTGCTGTTCTCATTTCCCTGGTCTGACTCCAAGTCAGATTATTTCCCAGTGCCATTCCATTCAGTGGGACTGGTGCCAAGTAGCCACAAGTGGTATCACTCACGGCAAGTTCACTAGTTCCTTTTAGCTCTCACTCGTTTGCTTTACTCAACTGAGTTTTGTTGCCTAACGATCTAAGATTTTGTTGTTGAATAATTCACTGAAAAATAAATCAAAATTTAATCAAAAGGCCAAGGATACTAGAAGTTATTTCACCCCAAAGTATCTAGACCCTTGGGAACTTTCAAACATAGTCAAAGAGAAGTAACTTATTCATTCCTGTTCACCCAGTGTTGTTGTAAAGTAAGGTGACCACACTGTGCTTTACAACATACTGACAAGCTTATTGTGTGCCTCCAGCAAATCCAATAAGAGGACAACAGCTCACGTTCAAGAATCCCTATTTAAAGCTAGGTAGGATGTTGCAGCAGAAGGGTGTGTCAGAACTGCGGGACGTGCTGACATTCCATCACCAGACTCTGATACCGTGTATACTCCGCGACTGGTAGTGCATCCTGAGGCTGTAACATTGTATCAGGGTAGCTGGGCCCATGCCAGGATGATGGATCATCTCGTCCCATTGCAACATCTTTCTGTGCTGAGGAGGTGGCAGAATGTTGTGACCCAGTGGGGGATGAGTCCTGGAATGGGCAAATGCTAACCCGAGGAAGCTTTAAATGGGGGCGGGAGAAGAAATTAATCTGTACCCATGTTCCTTGATAGAACTTTCTGAAAACATACACAATGAGGGATAAAGGAGCTTGCATTAAATGAAATAACACTAATAATGACTTGTACTGCAGATGGGGTTTTAAAAAACTCAAGCAATACAAGACACATACTGGATAGAGAGTCTCTCTCTCTCTCTGTTCTTTGTCTGGGGGATACATATTGTACCAACATGTAGGTGTTACAGTAGCGTGTTGTGCAGGATACACAGAGTGCGAAATCCTTGCCCTGGGAGCAGAGACCGGAGACACGGTTGTATAAGTGTTGCTGCTTTGCGATGTTATGTGCTTTGAGCTACACAGACCGCATTGTTCAGATAAATCAAGAAGGGCAGCCAGAACAGTCCACCTAGCTAGGGAGTAAGATTAACCACAGGCGCCTGGAGGCGTGTTGGCAGGACAGTGAAGGGACACATTCGCTGCTGCTGCCCATGCCATGCCTGCAGAGGGAATAAAAGAAACACATTAGTCTCTTGGACTCTCAATTCAGTACCTCGCACACAACACTGATTTCACCCCTAAAGACAGATTAAATGGCAAGATAGTATTTGCCATATTTCTTTAGTACTTCCCCACGCATCTCTTATTTTTCTTCTAACCTTCAGGCTTTTGAGGGAGAAGCTGGCCTTTTTTGCACCCTCTTTGGCCCCAAAACAAACAAACTAAAGCTCTTCAGTGGCCACATCCATCCCCCAGTGAAGTCAATGGGAATCTTTCTACTGATTTAAGTGGGGAGTTGGATTGGACCCTAAATCAGTGGTTCTCAAACTTTTGTACTGGTGACCACTTCCGCACAGCAAGCCTCTGAGTGTGACCCCCTTTTTAAATTAAAAACACTTTTTTATATATTGAACACCACTATAAATGCTGGAGGCAAAGCGGGGCTTGGGCTGAAAGCTGACAGCTCGTGACCCCCCCCCATGTAATAAGCTCGCGATCCCCTGAGGGGTTCTGACCCCCCAGTTTGAGAACCCCTGCCCTAAATGCTTGGACAATAAGTGCACTTGGAATAATGTTTTAAAGAACTCGGACTGGGTAAAAATTTCAAATGAACCGAAGTCCCATTTTCAGTATTGACGTAGGCACATAGGAGCTTTGGTTCCATACACTTTCATTGAGACTTAGGGCTTGTTAACCTGTACTATTAGACTGCAGCAAGTTGGGGTGTGAATCTACCCCGCCCTAGTCTGCTGTGGTTAACGGTTTCTGTGCACTCTGACACATGTTAACAGTTCATTAACTCACTTTGAGCTAGTGCCATTTCAAAGAAGACTAAATCAGGCTACTGTAAAGAGCCATTAAAGGACATTAGCAGGATGCACGCAGACCAGAGACGGCTGGTGCGGGTTAGATTCCCACCCCACTTTGCTGCAGTTAAAGTAGACAAACCCATAGGCTCCAAGGGCCCAGATCTTCAAAGTATTTAGGCACCTAAATCCCACTTATTTTAATGGGAGAGGTAGCCTGGATGCCTCTGGCTACGTCTACACTACAGCCTATGTCGGTATAACGTACATCACATAAGTTACACCAACATAAGCGCTAGTGTGTACAGCTTCTCCAGCCTACATAGCTACCACCGCTTGCAGGGGTGGTTTTGTTATGCCGATGGAAGAGCTCTGTCCTGTTGGCATAGAGCGTCTTCACCAGATGCACAGCAGCCGTACTGCCGTATGTGTAGACATGCACTTAAGTCTCTATTGAAAATGGGATTTAGGGCCCTAAATCACTTGGGCACTTTGGAAAATGTTAGCTCAGATCTTTTAAAGTGTGTGTGTGCATTGTAATTCTATCCCTCTCCCCATTTACAATGGATACAGTATTGCCTGTGTGTCAGGGACAAATGAAAGTGACTGTGACTGTGCTGGGACATAGGCTATGTCTACACTTACCGTGGATCCCCATGCTGCTGCGATTGATGCATCGGGGGTCGAATTAGTGGGTCTAGTGAAGACCTCCTAAATCTATGGCAGAGCGCTCTCCTGTCGACTCTGGTACTCCACCGAGAATGAGAGGAGTAAGTAAGTCGATGAGAGAGCATTTCCTGTCGACCCAGTGCGGTGTAGACACCACAGTAAATTGATCTAAGTTACATCGATTCCAGCTACATTATTCATGACAGAAGCAGCGGCTTCCAGGCTTATGAGAAACCTTTAGCTGGTAGTAAGGAGGTGCAAATGGGTATTTAAAGAGGAATACAGGGCCTGATGTTCCTGGTGAGACCACTGTAGATCATCTTCAGTATCCTGCCTACAGTAGTGTCCTATTCCTAATGCTTAAGAAAATGAAGACAGGAAAAATCAATGACACAATGCACCTAGACACTTGTGCAATGACACAGTGAAACTGGGCAAAAAAAAATCCTTCAGAACCCATGTGATTTCACTTTCTGAAGCCCTGAATGTGAGCATATTATGCCTGG